AGACTGGAACAGCTCAAATGAAGCTTAGTCTATTGTGTAATTATGTATTTAGGTTGTGTCCTATCTTAGTCATAATAAAAATAATTATAGAAAATCCACAGAGAAAACTACTCGTTTTGTACAGTACTTGTTTTATAAATGATAATGTCTCTTGCTGTTATTAATTGTAATTTAACCAAATTAGGATTAAGTCACCTACCAAAGTGTTCTTTTTCTTAAAGCAAGTTTTGGGGAACATAATAAATATGGTTAAATCTAAGAAGATACCCATTTCCATAACTGGGCTTGAAGCCACTGTACCTCGGCGGGTACTGAACCACACCAGAAGAGCAGTTCTCCTGAGCGGCAGTTCAGGAAAACTGCCTTCTTGGACATAGATACATGGTATTTCCCCTGTCAGGTTAAGAAGCCACTACGCTTGATCTGAGCCTTCAAGAGGAAATTTTTTTTTTAATTTAATTTGTAACTGAGGCCAAATTAGCCCAAACTAATTCCAAATCCAAGAGTTCAGAACCATAAGTGACCCTACTACTGACAAACATCCTCCACCCGCACCTGGGGCTTCAGAGGTTTCCAAAACCTTTGGTGGGCATTCTACTTGCAGGCTCAAGACTCGAGGTTTGGGATTCAGATGCCCCTGGAGGCCACCTGCTGATGAGCAGCAGGCCCCCACCTGGGCCTGGGAGGATGTCCTGTGCTACCTTGAGTCTGGTTGGGGCTTGAGTCTGGAGTGGGCGCATGTATGCCTCCAGCACATGTGTGCGCCCTGTATTCACCAGCAGCAGCAGCAGAAGAAGAGGCAGCGGCAGAAGAAGAGGCAGCGGTGGTGGATCCTCTGAAGGTAAGTGGGGCAGAGAAGCTAACAAAGCTGTAGAGGATCTGGAGGGAGAGCCTCCCAGATCCCTCTTAACTGAGCTGGCAGGGAGCTGCATGCGAACAGAGTGCACAGACAGGCATACTCTGTAAGGGCACGCTGGCGTTTGTGCCAGTGTTTGTGCTAGGCAGCCACACAGGAGTAAGCCAAGAGGAAGTCTCCAGGGAAGACTTGGAGCTCCAAAGACATGGTGAGGACACGGCAAGCTGCTGCTAGGGACTCTGACCCGGTAGCGTCACTTGCTGTGGGCTCCTCTGAGGCCTCCACCCAGATGGAGCCCATGGCGGGGTCGGCGGCACCCAGCCCCCCTGTCTGTGGGGGCTGCCTGGCAGGGGCCCTGCGGTTGGGAGCGGCAGAGGGGTCTGGGGGCTCCCTCGTCTGTTCCTCTTGTAACCACCTATGGGCCCTGGAGGAGCAGGTGAGGGAGCTCCAGGCCGGGGTGAGGAGACTGTGGGGGATCAGGGCTGCAGAAGACAAAATTGATGCTTATTTCCATTCTCTGCAAGGTCAGAAATCAAGCGGAGAGGCCCCCCAAGTAGGATGTACTGCAGAGGCATGGCAGAAGGTACCCACCAGAACAAGGCCTGCCCAGGCTAGTACAATGTCAGCTTCCCAGGTACAACTGGGGAGCAGATACAAAGCCCTGGCAGCCTTGGGGGAGGGGGCTGCTGCGGATGCCTACGGAGGAGACAGAGCCACTCCAGGCAATGTACAGACTGAGCAAGGACAGAATGCCAAGAAGAGGAGATGCAGAGTCCTCATCATCAGAGATTCCATCCTCAAGGGAACAGAGGGACCCATTTATTGCCCCGATTTCATGGCACATGAGGTCTGCTGCCTGCCTGAGGCCCAGATTCAGGACATCATGGAGATGATCCTGGACCTCATCCAACCCTCTGACCAGTACCCCATAGTCCTGATACATATGGGAATGAATGATGTGGCCAAGAGCAGTCCAGACTGCTTCATGAAGGACAACAAGGCTCTGGGGGCCAAGCTCAAGGAGACGGGTGCAGGTGGTATTCTCCTCTATTCTTCTGGTGCATAGACATGGATGGTGCCATGAGGGCTGCATCACTGAGGTCAACCGACGGCTTCGGAGCTGGCGTTACCAGGTGGGCTTTGGGTTCTTTGACAATGACCCACATTTCCGTGCAGGGGGCATGGTCGGGTGGGATGGGCTTCATCTTTCCCCAAAAGGTAAACATGTCTTTTCTTCCAGGTTGGCTGATATCATATGGTGGCTTTAAACTAGTCTCGCCAGGAGATGGGGCCACAGAGGCACAGGAGGACACTTCACCATCAAGCCAAGTGTCAAGCACAGGAAGTACCCAGGTAAGTGACAGGGGCAACAACATACTTAGGAACAAGGGGGTGGCATGAACACCCACAGGAAGTCTTAAATGCCTCTACACTAATCCTAGAAGTATGGGGAATAAGCAGGAGGAGCTCACCCTCTTGCTAGCTATCATAAATCCAGACATAGTAGGGCTCACAGAAACCTGGTGGGATTCTACCCATGATTGAGCAGTAGATATTAAGGACTACAGGCTGTACAGGTGGGACAGAGCAGGCAGAAAAGGAGGGGGTGTAGTGCTGTATGTCAAGGAGCAATATACATCCTTGATGAGCAAGGTGGGGTCAGAAGAGGGGCAGATGGAGGTGCTGTGGGTAAGAATACAAGGGGGTCATGGGGAAAGGGACTTAACTGTGGATGTCCATTACAGACTGCCCAACCAGGGGGAAGAACTGGACCAGGAATTTTTAGAACAGCTCGCAGAGGCTGTCAAGTCAAGAGATGTGGTAGTTATGGGTGACCTGAACTACCCAGACATCTGCTGGGAAGAGCAGTCAGCTAGGTCTGACTGCTCAAGTAGATTCCTAGCCAAGATACAGGACCTCCACCTAACTCAGGAGATGCACAGTCCCACCAGGGAAAATGCCCTGCTGTGCTGGACCTGGTCCTTGCCACAGGTGATGACCTGGTGAGGGAATTGTGGGTTTTCGGCCACCTGGGTGACAGCAATCATCTCCTGATGGAATTCATTATCCAGCGCAGGCTGTCAAGGGCTAGGAGTAAGATGGAAATCCTTGACTTCAGGAGGGCTGACTTCAATGAGTTAAGAAGACTAATACGAGAGGCATTGGGAACCCAAAGTTTCGGGGAGAAGGGAGTCCAAGATGGGTGGTCTTTCCTCAAGGAGACAATCCTCTGAGCCCAAAGGGAGTCAGTCCCAATGCATATCAAGCAGGGTAAGAGTGCTAAAAAGTCCCCATGGCAAGGGCATTCAGGAATGCCTGAGGGCTAAAAAGGAGGTGTCCATCTGATGGATGCAAGGGGCTATTACCAAAGAAGATCACACCTCCATTGCTTGAGGCTGTAGGGCAGCTGTTAGGAAGGCCAAGGCTGAGATGGAACTGGGCCTGGTGACCAGGATTAAGGATAATAAAAATTTATTTTTCAAATACATAGGGAGCAAGAAGAAGGCACCAGGTAACATAGGGCCCCTGCAGGATGTGCTTGGCAATCTGGTGAAATGTGGCAAATGGAAAAGTGGACCTCTTTAACAAATTCTTTGCCTCCATTTTTCTGAGCAGGGACCAGGACATCTCCCCCACTGGGAGTACAGAAGCACTCAGGGGAGGCACTGCGAGGCCCAAGGTTAGGGATGATGTAGTTAGCCCCCCCTTCTGGAGGGGCTGGATGTGTTCACATCTGCAGGCCCGGATGCTCTTCATCCAAGGGTGCTGAGGGAATTGGCAGGGGTCATTGCAAGGCCCCTGGCACGGCTATACGAGCACTCATGGAGCTCTGGTCAGGTGCCAGATGACTGGGAAAAGGCCAATGTGGTCCCCATTTACAAGAAAGGGAGAAAGGAGGACCCAGGTAACTATAGGCCCGTCAGTCTTACCTTGGTCCTGGGCAAGATCTTTGAGAAAATTATCAAGGAGCACATCTGCGAGGGACCAGCAGGGGAGATCATGCTCAGGGGGAACCAACACTGGTTAACTAAGGGAAGATCCTGTCAGACTAACCTTATTTCTTTTTACAATCAAGTCACAAAGTCCTTGGATGAAGGTATGGGGGTGGATGTCATCCTCCTGGACTTTAAGAAGGCCTTTGACACTGTCTCTCACCCCATTCTCATAAAAAAACTAGGTGACTGTGGCATTGATGCCTACACAGTCAGATGGGTGGCTAATTGGATGGATGATCACACACAGAGAGTGGTGGTGGATGGGTCATTTTTGACCTGGAGGGATGTGGGATGTGGGGTTCCCCTGGGCTCAGTCCTCAGGCCCGCAGTGTTCAACATCTTTATCAATGACATGGACGAGGGGTGGAAAGCACATTGTCCAAGTTCACTAATGACACCAAGATGTGAGACGAGGCAGGGACAGAATCTAGCTAGATCTGGACAGGTTACAGAGGCAGGCAGATGAAAATAGGATGGAATTCAATGAGGACAAGTGCAGGGTACTGTATCTAGGGAGAAGGAACCAGCAACACACATATAGGCTGGGGAACACCCTTTTTATCAACACAGTGGCTGAAAGGGATCTTGGAGTCATTGTTGACTTCAGGTTGAACATGAGCCACTAATGCAAGGTAGCTGTCAATAAGGCTAACTGCACCTTGTCATGCATCGACAGATGCATCACAAGCAGGTCCAGGGTGGTGATTCTCCCCCTCTTTGTGGCATTGGTCAAGTTGGAGTAATGTGTCCAGTTCTGGGCACCACACTTCAAGAGAGATGTAGCTAGCATTGACAGCATCCAGAGGAGGGCCACTCGCATGATCAGGGGGCAGCAGGGCAGGCCATATGAGGAGAGACTAGAGGGCCTGAACCTATTCAGCCTCCACAAGAGAAGGATGAGGGGGGATCTGGTGGCCGTCTACAAATTCACCAGGAGGGATCAGCAGAGAATAGGAGATGCCCTGTTCCCCCGGGCACCACATGGGGTAACTAGGAATAATGGCTACAAGTTGATAGAGAGCAGGTTCAGGCTAGACATCAGGAGGCATTACTTTACGGTTAGGATGGCTAGGACCTGGAACCAATTTCTAAGGGAAGTGGTGCTTGCTCCTACCTTGGGGATCTTTAAGAGGAGGCTGGATAGACACTTGACTAGGGTCATATGACACCAGCATCTGTTCCTGCCGAAGGCAGGGGGTCGGACTTGATGATCTGTTTAGCTTCCTTCTGACGCTAGCTACTCTGATACTATGATACCTCCAGCAGCCAGGAGCATGGGTCTCCTGAGGCCTTGGCAGGGGGGGAGGGCGGCTGCAGGTGGTACTCCCATTCCCAGCCATCCTCCATGTGCCATGCCTCCTCCACCCAGGCCTTGTGAAAGAGCTTCCCCTGAGCCTCACAGATGTTATGCAGCACAAAGGTGTGATGATGACCCAGGGGAGGTTGTAGTCACTGAATTTGAGGCAGGTGGTGAGGGTGCACTAGCATCCCTTGAGGCAGTGAAAGGTGCACTCCACCAGGGCATGGGTCCAGCTTAGGCAGCAGTTAAAGAGGGCCTGGTGGGGGTCCAGGTGGCTGATGTAGGGCCACATGAGCCAGGACAGGAACTGGTAGGTGGGGTACCTGATGAGGTGAGGTGGGACTATCATGGAGCCCAGCTGCAGGTCTGGCACCCTGACACGAAGCTCCTACTCTCCACCAGGCCTGGCAGACTGGAGTTCCTGAAGATGTGGGCATTGTGAACAATGCCTGTCCAGCCAACATTCATGTGCATGAAGGCCCTGCAGTGGTCAACAATGGGCTGGAGCACCACAGAGAGAAAGCTCCTCTGGCTGTATAAGGGCAGTCTCCATGGGGTGGGCAGGTAACAGGGATATGCATCCCATCTAGCACCCCAGTGTGCTGGAGGAACCGCAGGGCACAGAACCCCACCACCCCTGCCAGGGGGGTCCTGAAAACAGAGCTCAGTGTGCCCCAGCACATCCTGGAGGGCACTGCACACCTCCAGAATGGCTTCCCTGGTGGTGGCCTTGCCATGCCAAGCAGGTGGCTAATGTACCATAGGCTGGCAGGTGTGGCCAGCTTGTGCAGCGTGAGGGCCAGCTGGGTGTCTGCAGGGAGGGGCAACTGCATGGCAGTGTCCTGCCACTCCAGGTGTGGCCAGAGCTGTTCCAAGAGATCCCAGAAGGTGGCCTGGGTTATGCAGAAGGCCTGCAGCCACTGCTCATCATCCCAGGTATTCTTGATGATGTGCTGCCACCAGTCCTGACTGGCCCACTGGGCCCAGAGGCATTGGGGCTGGAGGCCCAGGAGGACAATGGCAGTCCCAACGATAGCATCCTGGAACCCATCACCAGCCATGTGGTGGCCCTGAGAGAGCATGTGGCAGGCGGGGGAGCCAGGAGATGGCCATGGGCCAACTGGCAGCCAGAGGCTTCTAGGAGTATGGGGCACTGGTTGCTGTTGCCAGGGGCAGGGACAAGAACAGCCCTGGCTCATGGAGGCAGACGTGGCAAGGAGAGCACTGCCATGTGCTCTCACTGCACTGCACACTCTGCTCTTGGCCAGGGAAGTGGCTGGTCAGACAGCAGTGAGCGGGGCTGGCTTTTGAAGAGGGCTGTCAGGTGCTGGCAGCTGCAGCCAGAGCCTGGAGCTCACCATGATAGTGACAGGGGCCCATTGCAGGACCCCAGAAGAAGGAGTAGATTGGCAACAAATCTGCTTGTGCTTCTGGGGACATGTAGACACCTGCCTGGCACCGTTTACTCATGAGTAAATTTACTTGCAAGTAAACTGGTGCCACTGCAAATGCATTTGTAGATGCACCCACAGGTTGGTTTATTTCAAGGTCAGTGTTTTCAAATTTGTCCTTCACTTCTATTTGCCCAGGAAGAACAGGGTCTGACAGTAAGAAGGGGGAAAGGCTGTGCGGGTGGAATAAGTTGGGGCAGAAGAAGACAAAGGGGCTACCTGACCCGCCAGATTTATTTTCACTGCTGTAGCAATAGGAGGGGGGCAAATTCAAAACAAACCTTCAATAATTAGATTCTATACCTGGAAAATTATAACAAATTTATAAATTTTCCATATATAGCATCTAATTATTGGGAAGTCATCTACATTCAGGGTCATCTTATATTCAAGTAAATACAGTAATTTACTAAACATTCATTAGTATCTTGCTCATTAAGTATTAATATCTTGTTTGTTAAGTATGTGTGTGTCTACACATGCACTTTAATGCTCAGTGGACTATTTTACTGTGCATTGAAGCACCACATAAAAAATGTGACATGCTAATGAGCAGTAAAATAGTCTACTGTGCATTAAGCATCATTTAAAAAGTGTGCAAATGTGCTACTGTACATTAGCACAGCCTAATGTGCATTCATTTAGTACTTTGCATTTGAGGTACTAAATTTAATGCTCATTAGAAAAGGCACATTAATGCACGTGTAGATGCGCCTACTGTTAGATGGGTGAACAGCACTAACTTAGTGGTACAAGTGGCATTTTGGGCCACTTTAACAGATTTTTTTATCCTACCTTCTGGGAAGGCATGGACTTTATATGACACAAAACAGAGGGGAATCTACTACCTTTTAGCTGGACACCAGGTTCTAGCCCCCTCCCTCAAATTTAAATCTGTATCTTCTGCTTCCCAACAAAATGCCCTAAACACTAGGTATGGGCTAAATTCTGCTGAAGCTGTTCTAAAAGACAGCCAAGGTATGTGAGGCAATAGGGGAGCCCACTGGAGGAAGTGAGATGGGCTCTGCCACGGAAGGGAAGAAGCCCTGAGTTTTAATCTATGTTCCTGCCTCAGTGAGACAAAAACAACTCCACTACTGTTATTTTACTTTATCCAATGATTCTTACATGCCACATCTTGAAATATGATTGGGAAGCATGCCCAAAGGGAAGGGGTAGGATCAAAACACCTGTGTAAGAGGCTCAGAATGCCATTTACGTGTGTAAAATTAGCCTTAGCATTTCTATAAATAAGGGAAATACCTTGCTTTTGTGTTTGTGGTCGTGTACACCATAGCAAATACCTTTACCCTTTTTAATTACATTTTAATACTAATCTCTTCTGCTTACACTCTATTCACCTGCAATTTCAGACTCCAGCTTGTAGTGAATTAGAGCAGAAACCTACCTCCTTACAGTTCTTTTTCTCTTTGCTCTGCTCTACTTTTGCCTGATAATGAAATTAGGGATGGATTATGAGTTCAACAAAAGTGATCCATTTCTAGTATAATATTTATATACACAACCCCTGCAGCTCTGACATTCCTGGAGGAAAAATGCTAGTCATGTAACCTGTCTCATTAGTTTTTGAGATAAGACTACAATTCAAAATACTGCTCTGTGCCATCCTGGCACTTTACAGACTGATCTTTAATTCATTTTTCTTTAATGACCCATCTATTTGCTCATAAACCAGACCTCCAGGTCTCAAAAAATCTTCATTAGAGACATTACAACTTTTTTTTAAAGAAAAAACTAAATGCAATGCAATCTGCCATCATCTTATATAATCCGCATTTGTATCCTCTCATTAGGAATACATTCCGTTCTTGCTGGTGTATGTCCCTGAGAGTTTGTGATGTAGAGAATTTCTGTGCTTAACCCCATCTTTGTGCTAAGTGTCCAACTATGGCTAAAACTTGTGGAAGACACTTGAAAGTATGACAAGTTTGGAAAGCACTTCCTACCAGTGGAACTGGAAGGTGCCATAAAACTACTGTTTTCTTTCCCACTTTATTCCCACTTTATTTCATGCTCTCTTGACCTTCAGCATTTTAACTCTGACCTCTCATGAGGATTTTTACATATTTACCATAATAAAGCAGTTGAAAACAGATTTAGTATTAGGTCCCTACAGGGCAGTTAAAATGACAGATTTTTTTTTTTATGCAGATTGATTTTCAGTTCTATCAATCAAATTCCTTGTAATATTTTCTCTTACTGTTGAGGTATGAATCAATTTGTAATGAATATTTTTTTGCAAGCATCACTTCTAAATTGGATTCCTCATGCTCTTTTTATTCTCATGAAATGCATTTTCATTTATTCTTCTCTTTTGTGTAGACTGATCTTTTCAAGTCATTTATACTCTTCCATATTTTGGAATGTCCCCATCTTGTATCTCAGTTTGTTTCACAATTACTATTGAACTACCATTAAATTACTATCTAGATTTTTTTCCCTTAAAGTTTTGTCCCTGTGCTGCTACTGGTATGCAATCAATGGAAAGGAGTAGTAACCAGACTGTGGTCTTGATGGTGAGGTCCACTGAGGGTTGAGTCTATCACATTTTGTTCTAGATATATACAGACTGGTGATCTACCAAGAATGAAGTCCAGGGAGTGTGAAGCAAGACTTGGCATGTTATCTTTAGGGATGATCACTGTCATAGTGACTAAATTTACTGCACCTCTCACCCCACATGGCCTCCTCTATGATAAGTACCTGACTTAGATGTCTGGTTCATCCTTTTTTGGGGTCTGTCCCTACAAACTAAAGACCTTCAGTTCCATTTTTCTGCAAAATGCTACAATGATCTCAGCAAAATGCCTTTTTAGCACCTGAAGTTATGTAATCTCAGGGACAATGACATGGTTATGCACCGACCACTTTGTTGTCATGAAGCAAAAAGTTATTTACTCAAAATAAAACCATTTCAGAAAAAGCATATTTTAAAGCTACAAATGGCTTATATGCATGCCCTATTCACTGGGTAGTCACCTATCTTCCATAGAGCCACTCTGAGGTACATCTGGTCTTCTTCTGTTGGGCTTTCTGTGCTAGTGAGTCTTAGGGCTATCCGTCCTTGGATGGTGTGTAAATGATTCTCACACAGTTTGGGGCTGTCACTTTACACTGCTTCAAGTCCTCTGCCTTTTAAGGCTTACAGAAGTGCCATATAAGTCTGGATGTTGTTTTCTTTGGCAGGTGGAGTGATGGTATTTCCAAAAAGTTGTTACCTGCATTGTTTTCATACTGGTAATTTGCATTAATTAACCCCAGTGACTTCAGCTCACCTAGAGTCATGAGGACAAATTCTAACAAGCCTATCAAAATACATATTACATTTATGAAGTTAAAAAGGTAGTTTGAATATTCCATGATTCTAGGACATGATTACAGAGTCACAACAAGGAATCCTTTAAAAATGTCCATTTAAAAATACATTCAATTATTAAATCCTCTATTACCTGAGTTTTTGTGCACTTGTACTCTAGGGGTACAGAGAGATGTTTAGGCACCTTCTCTAACTGATGGCGCTTGATATAAAGCCCAATGAATTAGAGCGCTCCCCTGACCCAACAAATATTTGCTGGTCTGATCAGGGGATTGAACCTGCCTGCACTGGTCCCAGTCAGCAGTGAGCATAGGTGGCAGAAGGGTGGGAGGGGAACTAATGGGGCTTAGCCTCCACAAATGTGGGGCAGCAGTAGGGCTGTGGGCTTCTGGCAGCTGCAGCAGGGGTGAGGAGGGGCAAGAAGGCAGTGGTGAGGGAGGGAGTGGAGCTGGGGCAGGCCCTGCACAGCTGGGATGGGGTATGGGACTGAGCTGTGAGTGGCTCATCTGGGGGGGTGCTGCTCCTGCCGCTGAGCACCCCCTGGAAGGCATGGGGGGGTGCCCCCCCAGATCTGGGTGGGGTGGACAGCTGCTGCTGGCTGGGGCTGAGGCAGTGCCAGGCTCTTCCTGGAGGTGGAAGAGGGTGTGGGGGCTGGATCGTGCTGCACTCAGTCTTATAAAAATCATCATACAAGTTAGGGTGGCAGTGGTGCTGGGAGAGGGGCTACTGGGGGGCGGGGGGGGGCTGCAGTCACCCCAAAATTAGCTGTAGCCCCCCAGAACCCCTCCCAGTGATGCTGCCGCCCACATGGAGTGCAGCGTAACTCAACCCCTGGCTGGAAAGAGCCTAGCGCAGCCCCAGATGGCAGTGGCAGCCTACCCTGCCCCACACAGATCCCAGGCACATGCCTGCCATACCCTTTTGGCATGTGTGCAGCGGCCACCCTCTCCCCGTGCCGGGCACCCCTCTCCCAGACAAGCCACTCGCAGCTCCATCCTGGCTGTGCAGGGCCTCCCCTCCTACAGCCCTTTCCCCTCCCCCTGCCTCTTCCCCCACAGACTTACCTGCTGGGGGAGATGCACATGCATGCATATGTGTGCTCAGCCCCACCAAATAATTTTTTCTCCCTCCACCCATGGCAGCAAGTTGCTGGTAGGGCTTTGCCTGGCCTGCGGTGAAGGGGCGGAGTAATGGATCCGAGACCCTTCCAGCCCTCCTGCCTGGGTACAGGGGCAAGAGGGGAGGAACTGGGCCGGACCTATAAGATGAGGGGGCTCCATTCCACCCCCCTCCTCCAGCTCAGGTCAGGCAAGCTGGTAGCTTGTGCTGCTCCTTTCCCTCTTTCTGCTTTGCCCGGCCTAAGCTGGAGGGGGAGGGATGGAACACAGCCTCCTTGCCTTGTGGAACTGGCCCAGCTCCCCCCAGGACTGCAGCTGGAGAGCTGGAGGGGGGGCCGCAAGGTAGGGGGTATGTGGATCAACACCAGCTGGCATCTCACTGCTGGTTTCCCCCTCTCTCCCTGCTGAAAGCCCTGGGAGCGGGGCTGGGTTACACCTACCTGGCCTGAATGTGCAAAAAATTAACCCTAGGGAACACAAGTTCCCTAAGGTGCTCTAAAGCAGAGCCCCTTCATTTAATACGTCATCTGAGGAGGGTTAATTTTTCATGTGATTGGTCATTTTGAAAGCACTCTGCAGCCATGCACATATGTCATGGCATGGTTGTAGGGTGCTTTCAGATGCCTGATTGCGTGAAAAATATAACTTGTCTAAGTGCCCCAGAAGCCGTAATTAAACCCTCCAGATTGGCACACTGAACAATTCTATTCTTCATGAGCAGCATGCTGTTGCTTGTGTTGTCCATCCCAGGCCCATTTCCTCATCTTTTTCTACATTGATATGCTGTAATTTGTTGTCTAGTTTATTAATTCTTTTTAGATTCCTCAGAACCACCTCTGACATACTTTAGCTTTCCATAATAACCTACAAGGAAAAAAGACAGATACAACTAAAGTCAGACTAATGGGAAAATGTGGTTATAGACTCCTCCCAGTTCTGAACATTCTCTGTACTTTTATATGAGTATATGCAACAAATTTATGGCTTCGGTGATTGCTTTTGAGCATGTGCAAGATATCTGGGAAACATGCCATTTCATACAAAAAACTGCCTCATAACATCCAAATATGATTTTCTTCAATCACGGTGTTCTAGACAGTAGTTAGAGCAGATTTAGACTGGACATTAGGAAGAACTTCTTCACATTTAGAGTGGCCAAAATCTCGAATGGGCTCCCAAGGGAGGTGGTGTTCTCCTCTACCCTGGGGGTCTTCAAGAGGAGGTTAGATAGGCATCTGGCTGGGGTTATCTGAACCCCGCACTCTTTCCTGCCTATGCAGGGGGTTGGACTCAATGATCTATTGAGGTCCCTTCTGGCCCTAAAATCAATGAATCTATACACAGTAAAACTTAATTTAAATTTATCACTCCCCAATAGTTACTGCATTTATATTTGCCCCTCCCCTCTTAATATTCTTAATAGTCTTTGCTTACTATTTCACGGTGCTCAAGAGTGTTTGAGTCATATGCACAGTAAGCATCAGTTGGCATGGTCCTTGCCTTGATATGCTTGCATTCTAATTGCAGGCCTCATATGATGAAAAGCCTTATAAAATTTAGT